AGGTGCTCTAGTAAGACAGGTTATACCCTACCTAGTAGTTACAGCTAGCCCATGTATCATCCAACCTGATCTCCCATAACTCTCGAAGGATCTACAACTGTCCATCAGCCTGCACGTCGATGGCTGTACTGTCTACGGCATTTCAGTAACAATTGTGAGACAAGAAGTACTCAAAATTGGCAAGACTTAAAAATAAGTTAAGTAAATTCTGGTGAGCCTTTCGATTATTTTGTGAACAATCAGTACCTGACGAAACTAACCTCTTCACCAAACTAGCAAGTGACTTGGTGTGCTGTTCACCTATAGTTTAGGGGGCGGGGCCCGGTAGGCTCATTCTTCCCAGGACACCGCCTCCCATCAAAATGATAAACTACCCAATATTCTAGTTAGCCATACAGCAATAAAAACATAATTAAGTTTCTGACAGAAAAAAACTCTACATAAATAAAAGTAAAAAAAAGCAACTACAGTATAAAGGGCGGGGCTCGGTAGGCTTATTGTTCGCAGGTCACCGTCTCCCAACTAAGAGTTAACTACGCTAAACTTTTAATAGCCCTACAGAAAAAGAAACAAATTAAGTTTCTTACAGAAAAAGGCTCTGCATATAAGAGAGAGGAAAAGAAAAAAGGCTACTGTCTGGGCGTGCTATTCACCTACAGTTTAAGGGGCGGGGCCCGGTAGGCTCATTATTCACAGGTCACTGTCTGCCAGCCAGTAATTAACTACACTTCATTCTAGTTGGCTTAACAAGAACAAAAATAATTAAGTTTCTGACAGAACAAAGCTCTACATTTATATATATATTAAAGCAACTGTCTGGGCGTGCCGTTCAGGCTACAGTTGAAGGGGCGGGGCCCGGTAGGCTTATTATTCACAGGTCACCGTCTCCCAGGTAAGAGTTATCTACACTAACGTCTAATTCGCCTCACAGAAAAAGAAGACAAATTAAGTTTCTTACAGAAAAAGGCTCTGCATATAAGAGAGAGGAAAAGAAAAAAGGCTACTGTCTGGGCGTGCTATTCACCTACAGTTTAAGGGGCGGGGCCCGGTAGGCTCATTATTCACATGATACCGTATCCCAGCCAGTAATACTATCCTATATTTCAGTTAGCCTTACAACATCAAAAAATGATTAAGTTTCTGACAGAACAAAGGTCTACATAAATAAATGTATAAAAAAAGCAACTGACTGGGTCTGCCTTTCACCTACAGTTAATTGGACGGGCCCGGTAGGCTCGTTATTCACTAAATAACGTCTCCCTGGCAGTAATTAACTACCCTAATTAGCCTTACAGAAAAAAGAAGGAAACACAATAGGAAGTTTCTTACAGAACTAAGCTTTGCATACATAAGAGAAGAAAAAGAGAGATACTGACTGGGCGTGCCGTTCACCTACAGTCTAAAGGGCGTGGCCCGGTAGGCTCAGTTTTCATAGGACACCGTCTCCCAGTCCCCAGCCAGTAGCTAACTACATTAAGTTCTAATGAGCCTTACAGAAAAAAAGAATAAAAGGGAATCGAGTACATGACTGAACCACGCTCAACGTATAAAAATAAAAATGGCAAATGATAGGGCGTACCGTTAACAGTAGGCTAATTAGTATTCACATCACACCAGATCCTTACCATCAATTATAAACAAAGGAAGGACCAAGCTTCAACTATGTATTACAAAAAAATGTAGTTACCACGCGTTACTGTCAGGGAAACCATAGAAAACATTAAAAAAAAATAGCAACTGGCTAGGCTTGCTGCACACCTACAATTTATTTAAGGGGTATGGCCCGGTAGGTTCGTAATTTACAGCCCACCATCTCACAGACAAGCATTACCTACCTTAATTTCTTTTGCAAAGCCTTACATATTGTAAAAAATACAAAAAACGCAAAAGTCAATAAAAGAGTCCCTGATCGGGCGTTCCATAGACCTACCGTTCAAGACCCAATAACAAACACCAGAGAAAAAGGACATCCAAACATCATGTGAAATACTAACTTATCTATCAATATAACAATATAAACTGTGTCCACAAATATTCAATAATTATATGAAATTTTCGGGGTTATGTATTCCAGGGAAACCTATAATGGTAGCCCTATAAATAATAACGGATGACAGACCACTTGATTGGGCCGGGGTGCCGGTAGGCGAACATCTCCCAGACAGAAATTAACTACATAAACGATCGAGCACCTTGACTACTTACAGAAAAAACAGAAAACCTGAAATTACGAAGAATATCAATATGTCAAAGATCATGGATCTTAAAATCAAAAGTAAATATACGAAAGACAATTCCTATATAATAACCGAAGCCTCATTATTCGTAAGTCACTATCTCCAGCAAGGCATATACCAATAGGCCTCTGAAAGGGATAGTCTACTCTTGATACAAAGCTAAACTCAGTCAGCCGGTCAGGCGTTACTCATGTACCTTTTCCTCGAAGAAATATCTTTACATTAACTTGTATGTGTGTCAAACGTGCAATGCAGTTGGACAAGAGGCATATAAAGCTAGTAACCTAATAAACCCCTAATATCGGCTTCATGACTGGAATCCTAAAATCCCAAAGGAATGGAATATATACGGAAAAGGACAGTAACAGGAATTTTAAAAATTAAGGAGAGTACTTATTCAAAATTCTTATCTACCTACATATAGAATACCCCCTTCCTCTCATTTTTCCTTCGTTTTTATCTTGTTTATTTTGAACAGCCAACGAAGGTTTGCATGATGCAAACACTGCCAAAGAAATGCAAATCGGTTCGAAATATCCCCCCCCTAAAATGGGGTATTCTGTATTTGGCCCATCCCTAAAACACCCTTAAAATGAGAAGCAAATGCTACACATGACTTTCTTACCACCATGATCCAATGAAATCTGCTTCTCATCCATCCAGTGTCGAAACCTGATGTTTGGGTCATCACAGATAAGTGACAAGCATGATCCAGGAGAACAGTTGATGGCTCCAAACACAGATTCCCTTCTGCACCATCTTCACATGAAATGGCCGGAGACGCCCCTGGAGGTTGGGAGCAAGAAAAGAAAGAAGTTAAACCCGCTGACCAATGGATGAAGGTGAGTGGAAAAGGTGAAGTCAGTGTGAGATTACGTGATCTTAACATCCAGGGTGAGACGCCTGGTGTCCCGTTATCACAGGGGAACCTCCACGATGCGGGAGTCCATTAGGAGGCGGAAGAGGAGTGTTGCATTATTTCGCACAATTCGCACAAAGTTTTGGAAATTTTGAAAATTTGCTGGATAGTGATTCTTTACAATTTTGATATTTTGGATGCTCCTGTGGATGTATTATAAGCACTAAAAAATTAGCCTCAAGAAAACTTCTGCATTCGAGAAAAATTGAATATCAAAACTTACCGGTGCTCCCGGAAAATTCTGATAAATTTTAAATTTTGGAAAAAAATTAAATTGCGCTTACGGCCATACAATGGTAGCTGCGACCATGAAAATGTGATTTTTATTATGGTCTTCAAGGATTTGTGGGAAGGGGCAAGGCAAAACTATTTTTGTTGATTAAAAACTGACGTACATTTTGCACTGGGGGCAGGCTGTAGATTTCCTTTTTAAAATGAACTGCCCGAAAGGGCCAATGCTATCTGTAATTTCTTTTCTTATGCTATTTTTTCTTTCTTTTTCTATTTAGAATATTTTGTCGTAAGATGTCTTCTCCTCGAGTCCTCGAAATCTACATTATTTTGCTAATTTCTAAATAATAAAAAGGTTAGGGCTTTCAGGTTATTCTGTTAAAATACGTTTCAGCATTTTGTGGAAAAGTTTTTCTGAGGGTTTGGGGCAAAATAGCTAAGAGCATCTGATGGAGAAAATTTCCTCCATGTTGGAGGAAAATGAAAGTATAATATATTTTCTTTTTTAAATTTTAAAATCGTTTAATGCTTTTGGGTATCTGGATGTCCCAAATACTTCTTCAGGCGCTGCCACGGTATATTATTGTTTTAGCCATAAATTTTGTAATAAACTGGAGAGAGAGCGACTTGTTGTAGTATTTTAGGGGAAGATCTGTAAACATCGGGTTTTCACACTTTGTGCTCCTGAATATCTAGATATAGTAGTTACCCCCATTTTAAAAGTAAACCACAGTGTTCTAAATTAGTTGGACGTAGAAACAATATTATGCCTGAGCATGTGTTCTATAAAACTATTATTAAATTGAGTAAACCATAATTATTTAGCACTCTAGCAGAACAAGACAATGTCAACCTACACCTGGATGAAGAATGGCAATATGCAGATTAAATAATTTGCCAAACGGTATTCATGCCAGACTGGGTAATTCATTGATTGAACCACTACACCATGACTTGACATGACTATACCAGAGATTTGAACATCTTGCCAAAGGACTGTAGAGCCAGGCTAGGATTCAAATTTCTCAACCTCTCCATTGAAGTTGAGCGACTGAACCACTACACCACGGCGTCGCGATCAGTCAAACACTGTGGTTTACCTTTAAAGCTCAACTGAGTGGGATAAAACTTTGTCATTAGTGTGTCTATTGTCTCTCATGAATAAATCATAGGAACAAAAGTAATAATAGTAATAATGAAGCATGATTGCAATGCCAGCAATAATACTGTGGATAACATGAATACAAAATAACAAAAGTAAAGAAAAAATAAACAAAACATATTGCTCACATGGGTAAAATAAATGTATAACTACCCCTGTTCCCCCACCGCCACCCCTCCCTCTACCCCATACTCTACCCCTGTTGCCCCACCGTCACCCCTCCCTCTACCCTTACTCTACCTCTGTTCCCCCACCCCCACCCCTCCCTCTACACCATACTCTACCCCTGTTCCCCCACCACCACCTCCCTCTACACCATACTCTACCCCTGTTCCCCCACCACCACCTCCCTCTACACCATACTCTACCCCTGTTCCCCCACCGCCACTCCTCCCTCTACCCTTACTCTACCTCTGTTCCCCCACCCCCACCCCTCCCTCTACCCTATACTCTACCCCTGTTCCCCCACCGCCATACCTCCCTCTACCCTTACTCTACCCTCTCCTCCTCCTCCTCCTCCTCCTCCTCCTCCTCCCTCCTCGTCAGCTGTCCAATGAAGTCTCCAGTCATCGTCTTGCTGTCCCCATTCTCCTTCCTCATCCCTCTGCATAACCTCGATCATCTGAAACTCCTCCACATTCACCTCCTCCTCCTCCTCATCCTCAGTCGCATCGCTAGCCGTCCAATGAAGTCTCCAGTCATCGTCTTGCTGTCCCCATTCTCCTTCCTCATCCCTCTGCATAACCTCGATCATCTGAAACTCCTCCACATTCACCTCCTCCTCCTCCTCATCCTCAGTCGCATCGCTAGCCGTCCAATGAAGTCTCCAGTCATCGTTGGGGTGCCCCCACTCTCCTTCTTGCTCTCCATCCATCCGCTGAACCTCGATCTCCTCGAACTCGATCTCCTCGAACTCGATCTCCTCGAACTCCTCAGCCCCCAGCACCTCCTCTGCCTCAGCCTCAAGCACCTCTTCAACGGCCTCGGCATCCAGCGCCGCCAGCGCCTCAAGCGCCGCCAACTCAGCTTCTTCCTCTTGTAAGTACAGGGTCATGTTATCTGGAAAAAAAGTCCAGTCCGAATAAATGAAAGCACAGGATTTATGTAAATTCAGTCAAACAAGGCCCGGATCCCTTACAACTTTTTAGATATATTTTCCCGCATACGTAATCTAAAAACGATCCGGACATTGAAGACCGCGATGGAAAAGAGTGCGAAGAAACGAAATGAATTGGGATTATTAATCATTATCAGTTATTTTTTGTTCAATATTAAATCACGCGGGGCGTCGAAATTTCGTTTAAGGAATTAAATATGGTAGTTGAATTCATGTTAATGATATGCCTTACCAATAGCAACTTATTTCTGCAAAGTCATGCGTTATGGTGTCATCATTATGAAAGCCAAGAATGAACTTTTATTTGATGTATTCTTTTAATCATTAATGATCATAACTCATTCTCTGTCTTTTCAAAATCATTATGAACCAAATGTAGCAGCTCTCGACTTGTTTTTGATAATTAATGTTTTTTCTGCCTGAGCTCCTACTGTCTTAATACAGCCATGCATGATTTAGTAATCATTATTTTGATGCCGTACGCTAGAAGAGAAAAATTATCTTTTCAATAATGTATGCATTAAATGAAAACATTATTTGCGTTTATTTGTTGATAAAATTGGGTTACCCTTTTAACCCTTACTGCACTGGGCTTTTTTAAACATCTGACTGGGGAGGGGGGGGGGGGGGGCTGGGGCTCCCTCCCTTTCTATGATCTCGGCCGTCGAATGTCCGATGAACACGAAAATTTGCATGTTTGAAGATATTCACGTAAGAAACAAGATGGTATAATTCGTTTTTCCTAACTATATGCAAGTTGTTGTCATTAAACCCTAATTGATTATGCAAATGCTAATGTCATACATTTTACAGAAAAAAATGTACATATTTGTCTCAAGACTTTCGAAGAATCTTGAAAATGCATTGAATAAACGTTTCCTTCATTTCAAATTCATGACATTTCATCATTTTTATATTTGGAAATGCAAAGGTTAATTTGCATAAATTATGAATACGCATATTTCATCATTTTATTTTCTTATGTATTTTAATGTTTTATATTTCTTATTATATCTATTGTTTTATTTCTAATGTATTTGCTCGGGAACATATCAAAGCAAGTTGATATCAATTTATATCTCACACTTGTTTGAAGAAATCTAAACCTGTGTTCACATTTTTGCTTGTACATGAATATGCAATTATAGCACTCTTTGATGACATGCGCATACTAATAATGTGACACCTTACAAGTATATCTGATTTCGACGAAAATGGTATCAACATAATGAGTAGGACCTCGGTGCGTAGTTGCGTAGAAACGACAATTTAAAATTCCAGGGGGGGGGGGGGGGGCTCCTAGGCCCCAGTACAGTAAGGGTTAATACAGGGACAGCATAGATATACACTTATGATACGCACATAAACAGAACCCTGTTCCTATTTTGACGTTGACAAATCATGGAATGAAATTTTCTCCAGCTATCTGATGTAAAAGATACATGGAGATATTTCCCATAATATTGAATTTAATGTCGCCAATAGCCTAACACTAATTTCATTTTAATTTTGATAAAAAAAATGAACATGGTATGGAGTAAGCAGCAGGCCAAGATGGATCAAACACTATATTTCAGCGGCTTTCAAGGTGTGTTAACTTTGCATAATAGACCATGCGAAGCCGTAATGAAAAAAGGCTCCAAATTTTGATATTTTTTATTTTGAAATAATAGTCATACTATTGAATGGCTCATTTCGGCCAATACATGAAATATCGAACTCAATATGCAGAAATATTTCGTTCAATATTTCCTTGTATTGACCCTAAAGCCATCCAATAGTATATTCTTCTTGTATCCATGATTGCAAGATATTTTTAATGTGAGGAAACCCAAAGAAGAAAAAAATGTGTCATGCGGATAAAGTCTTTCAATTCCACAAGTGGAGAAAGATATAATAAACAAATTATAAACTTACGATGCTGAGTACACTTAGGAGCGACGCCTGGAAATCGGGAATCTCGGCTGCATAAACGGCCTTGACGCGTTACTGACGAACACTTAGTAGGTCGGTTTAGGTATAGATTGACTAACCTGTATGACAAAAACAATATCTAAATATCAGCTTGTCATTTATGGAATAACTATCTATTATCAATATAGTGATTTTTGAGGTGCAAGCGACCCCAACATAATTATACAGGCATATAAACATGTTCGTGGGGAGGGGGTCGTAATAAGTTCTATATCGCAACAGGTCCATGATCGCATTTACGCATTACTCCATTCTTTTTGACACAGACTACAATTTTGTGAGTATTTGAAAGCCCTTATCACAATATCTGCTTCATCTGTGTAAAATTCTAAAAAGTGATTAGGATTTTTTAACGGGCGAGGGGTCAATTTGTCCAATTCCATGACAACAATTATTTTAATCATAAAAACAAAAACAAAAAAACAATTGACTGACTTTTAACTTAAATGAATTCATCAGCTGCAATTCTTCTCACATTCTGAGTTTGTCAATAAATTAAATCTTCGATGTAATTATATCGGTTATACCTTTAAAATGGAAGCATATTTGCTAAGACCCATCTAAGACAAATACGAAGAAGGAATTATTGTAACATGAGCAAAGTTACTTAAGTATAGGTGAACTAATTCATACATTGTGTGTTGACAAACTCTTTAAAGTTCCAATTTCCCAAAAGAAATGGAAAAGTATTCTTTCAAATTAAGTTGTTAATTGGAATCAAATTTACATTATTCCTTTTAATGTTATTTTTCGACAAAGTTAAGGTATTTTCAGTTCCAAATAACTCACAACTTGTAATTTACTTTATAATTTCTTTCTAATAGCTTTCCCTTTGTCGTCTTACTTTCATCATCATTCCTCTCCTCCATGTCTTCACAGTTCTAACTGTTCCATTCTTCTCATTCCACTCCCTCCCTCTCTATCTCTCTCTCCCTCTCTCCCATCTTCCGCAGGTCTTCCTGTTTTTCTTTCTTACTTAACCCTCTCTCTTTAAATCGTTCTCTCCCTGACCTTTTCCCTCCCTTTCAGTAATTGTTTAATCATGTTTTTATGGTAAATCCTTATATATTTTGTAGCTTTATAGACATTCAATGTGCATTACGGTTCGAAATTCAACAAATCTTCTAATAATCAGTATTTACTTGTTATAACTCAGTTAATCAGCCTAAATTTCTATTTAAAATATGAATATTCATCACTTAACAATGATTTCAAAAATAATAATAATGCCGAATCTATTTTATTTGTATCATCAATTTGTTTGCAAGTAGGGAATATGTAATATTATAGGGAGTTACGATCTATCCGACTGTGTATTTTTTGTACTTGTCTATATATCTAAGTTTTGTTGAAATGCTTTTTAATACTTGTAAAACTTGCAATGTAATTTAGCTTTCGGGCTACTATTTTGCAGTTGTCTAATAAAACCATTCTACTACTACTACTACTACTACTACTACTACTACTACTACTACTACTACTACCATTTTCTTGTTGTCAATAAGTATTCAAAGGCTGTTGGTATATCCCATTCTGATGTACGTACGTTTTGTTCAGAAGATTCTTAGATGATGTTGAAAAATATACCCTGAAAATAATATTAAGTTAACAAGTATTAATTTCATCTTTGTCATCCCAGGTTGAAATTATTTCTCATTCAATTTCATTATTTGATGCACAACATCATATATTTTCATGTTTTAAATGTTTGAAGGGATCTTGATCACTTCCATGTTTTCAAAAGAAATTGAAATATCATTATGAAGTTGAACAACCAATCTTTGTATGCGCAATAAGAGAGGTATATTTTATTTCTCGATAGATGGAGGTATGTCCAACTTAAATAAATACTAGAATAATACCAACTAAATACTAGAATCTTGTTTTTCATTGTACCTTCCTTTGTCAAATGTATTTATACATCATTTTGTACATTTGCTTATACTGTTTTATGCTTTGAAAAAATTGAATAACGACATTAGTCGAAGAAAAAAAAAGTGAGAGATTTGAGACAGAAACATCATTGTATTGCTCTTAAAGATAATGTGTCCCTCTTGCGGCCTAAACCAAATTAATGCAGAATATTGCAGGGACTATGAATATGTCACGTGTGTCTTATCTGTGAAATGTATAGTTTGCAGTCTCCTATAGTATTCAAATTATGCAAGGAAACCCGTTTTAATTCATAGACTTTACTTTCAGACACTATTGAGTGACAGACTGACTTTTGTTTTCTTTGGTAATAACATTCATAAAATGAGATGTAAAGGGTACATGAGCATTTTGTTTTACACATCAATAACCCGATTCTTTTAATGGCCAAAATTAAGCAAACTGAATCTTTGCGCAGCACAAAACGTACGATCAAACGGTACTAAAAACCAGACCATTTTCTACGCATAATTTTCAAAACGTGTTGCGAAAATTCCTAACGGTCGATATAATTCCAAATATCAAAAAGGCAATTGCCAGTTCTAATCTTTTCAGGGGAGTTTTCAGTACCTCTTGTTTATGATGGGATTCACACAAAATTATATTTTCAGCCTGCAAAAGGAAAACACACCACCTGAGTGTGTACTATCATTTTGTTGGTATTTATGAAGAGCAAAGGAAACATGCACAGAGTTGGTATTCAGGGAAATTTCAGATATGAAAGGTGTTAGTATTGGGGGTGTAAATATTAATAATTTTCGTTATGCTGATGACACTATACTTTGCGCAGAGAATGAAGCAGATTTAAAACATGTATTGGATATTGTAAAAGTCAAAAGTAGGATTAGTTAACCCTAAAAAAGCCGGGCTATTTGAGGTCTTAGTACGGCCGGGGGGGGGGGGGCATTATGGCCCCCTTAAGATCTCGGCCGTGAAACGGGCCGATCTCCGCGAAAATTTGCATGCATGTCAAGTGAAGTGTATAGTTTAATATGATAATTTAAATTTTCTGAAAAATTCACTCATTTGCATATTTATGGTAATTTATGCAAATAAGGTAATAAAATTACAATTTTACCCATAAATCATACATTATTCATATTTAAGCATTCTTTTTCACTTCATATATTCATTAGACCATTTGGAATAACAAAACGATACTAAAAAAATTATGAAGAGCCAGCTTTTTCCTTATGTTATCTCTTGTTTTCATATTTCTTATGTATTTAATTGTTTTTATCAACTTATGTATTTTATTGTTTTTGTGGTTTTATTTCATTTCTTACTACATTTCAACTATTTTGACTCCCAAAACAACCACCTAAACTTTAAACAAGACCCAATAACCAATGTTTGATCTGTTTTTTTAGGAAAAATGACATTTCCTTATGTTTTGTACAGAAATCACAAAAAAATGAGCGATTTTCGGGCTGACATGCAAAGACAAAATGTCACATGACCTTGTAACTGTAGGCCCGGTTTTCAAAAGAAATCTTTTAAAAGATGCGCAAGACTCGAAAGAAAAAAGTCAGCGAGCGGCGGGGCGCCATCCATATGCGTTCCAGAACAATCAGGAAAATCATGGAGGGGGGGGGGGGGCATAATGGCCCCCGGCCTTATTCGGGTTAAGGAGACACAAATAAAATACTTTTGAAAATATGTCTTGTTTATATCTAAGGCTTTACCCACTTAACTTAACCGATCATACGCTTTTATTTCCACATTGTAAAATCCCCAAAGGAGTAGGTAATCTGCCATGGTAGGCAAGCCATAGTTAGAAGTGTATTCTCTAGTTTTCAGACCTACATTAATTTTGAGGTAAATTCTATCTTCGAATGTGTAAACTGAATAGTTTAAACATATTTGTTAACGTTTGGAATGTTGAAGTTTTGTAATTTTGATGTGCTGACGCCTAAAACATTGTACACGAATTTCATTACATCGTATTTTTCTAAGAATAATATATTGGTGTATTTTTATAAACTATCAAATGAAAGTATCCGGGTGATACCCATCTCAAGAACAAAACTGATTCACCGGTCATGTAATAAAATTATTTCCTGGAATCATTTTTAATCTTTAAAAAAAAAATCCTAATTCATTTAAATATTGGTATTGCGACTAAGGCTATGGCTAGGCTCTTTTTACTCGCCGATAGTATTAATTTCACGAGATACTAGCTAGTAAGCTCTTCATGAAACAGTTAAGGAAGATCAGAGACATCTCCGAAGTTGGCGGATAAAGTTATGACTGTCTTGTCGTTGGTTTCTAGGAACGGGCCCCTGGTCTATTGTCATGAATGATCTAGAAGAAGTACCGGTAAACAGCGATGGTAGACGAAGGCGTACAATACTTTGCCTCCTTCCTTCCCCCTGTTAGCCGGTCATATCAATTTCCATGTAGGTCTACGGAGGAGGATTAAGGTCTTGATCTTCCCTCGCAATTCGTCGTTTTTCGGGTTGTAATAATCAATGAATTGAATTTCAGATCATTTTTGAAACCCCCTCCCTGATGTAGTGTTGTTTAATTTGGGCTTGGAAAATAATAAAATATTCAGATTTTCTGGATCGGGCCAGTAGGGATGAGAAATACCGTGTGAGTAAAAAAAAAAGTTAACACCTAGAAAATTGCTAATTATTTTACAAATCATCTATGAACAGTAAATTATTAAACATCTTATGAAAGAGTGTTTTATCCCGAATCATTTAGGATCATTTTTGTGTGGTATGTGTTCACGCTTGGGGGCATTGTTTGCGAGAGTGCAAAAATCGAGTTGCGCCGAAGTGATGCCTACAGTATGTGATATGCTGGGATTAAAGTGAGAGAATGAATTCAATGTATGCTTTTTTGCAGAAAAAAAAGTCACAAACACACACATGCACATACACACACTCGATAACAAATGTTCGTTAATATTTGAAATTCCATTTTTGATATGTGTGGCATGATTAATTTTGTTAGGGATTTTATTTGGATCTGCAATGACCGAATTAGTACCCAAATCCCAATTGTTTTATTCCAACATCACAAAAGAAACTTTGACGCAAGTCGATTTCTGCACTCTCGCAAACAATGCCCCCTGTTTATCCAAGCGTGTATGGACACATACCACACAAAAATGATAATAAATGATTCGGGATAAAACACTTTCATAAGATGTTTAATAATTTACTGTTCAAAGATGATTTATAAAATAATTAGCAATTTTCCAGGTGTAAACTTTTTTTACTCACACTGTAGATGCTACCCTTGTTGATGGACTTTGGGAGGATACTAGTACAGCAGGTCGTTAGTACAATATTCCTAGCCTTTCAGTGCCACCCCTCCCATCTAATAAACAAGACTGATTCACCGGTCATGAAACGAAATACGCACAATTATATTTCACAAATAATTGTATAATTTAATCTACACAAATTAAGTATATTGCATATCTTATTCCCTGATACTATTTTTAATCACATTTTCATTCCTAATTCATTTAAATAATTGCAGTTTTCCTAAAATTACTTTTTGTTTAATCCGGTAGAACTGCGACTAAGGCTATGTCTTGGCTCCTCTTCTTGCCGATAGTATCGATTTCACGAGATGTCTAGCTAGTAAGCTTTTCATGAAACGGTTTAGAAAGATCAGCGACATCTCCGTAGTTGCCTGATAAAGTTATGGCTGTCTTGTCGTTGGTTTCGAGACACGGGCCCCCTGTGGGTTTTTTTTTCATCTGCGAGCATCACTTTCCTATCGTGGAAAAATGTGCTCATCTGAATAGGTCGAATAGGGAATAGCTTCATAGTAGTTTCTCCCTCCACCCCCCCCTCTAAACAAAAGAAGAAAAACAAAATGAAAAAAAAACAAAAAAACTTGAAGGAATTAAACAATAATGATAAGCGGGAAGAAACTTACTCTTCATATGTTAGTTCCGCCTTGTGTTGCCAACATGTTTTAGTAGCGTGTCGTGTTTTGCGCTTACATCTCTCGCGTCCTACGGTCTTTGTGAGGCAAACACATCTGTGTCGGATAGCCCCGTACATGCTCGGATGCTCGAAGTCAATATTCATCTACGTAATGAAAGCAGAGCAAAGAAAACACATACAATTAAATGACTGAGATATTTAATCAAATTTGAATGGAAAATTGAATTGAAAAACTAATTTCCATCATCACAGTCAAAGACCAAAAAGATGGATAAAATGGATGACAAAGATAAAATGATTGTTTTACAGAGTGAACGGTATTACAAAAATACATATAAAGTGACATTATTACAAGTACATATCATGTAACCATATTACAAATAGAAAATGAAATGCTATGCTGATAAGGCTTGATCATTCAATGCACACCATGCGCATTGGAGATAAAGATATTGGTTAGGCCTACAAATAAAGAAAACTGGATTGATTTTGATCGAATATCAAATTGTATTTCCCAAGAACGGGTCGTAAAACCTATCGGGGTTCTGGTGTCTGGACCGAATCCCACTTCCCTTTTAAAAATCCATTTGACTTTCCTTAATTATCAAACTAACACATCTGCCTCCGCCCTAGCCATTTCAAGGTGTTTTCTTTTTGGATAGGTTTTGTTCACCTTAATATCTCCAATTCTCATTCAAAATAAATTTTCTTTCATTATAGTTTTAAGATGTCCCTCTATGAAATTTGGTACAATTTGAATATGACTGTGCTATACAGTGCGTGAAAAAGCATTCCCAATCCTTGATATAATCCCATTATAATCTGTGTTACCTTGAGTTATATATGTCATTTTAAAGAGTAATTAAGATTATGTATAATGACACGGATGACTGAGCAACAGCTATTTTCAAGAAGCATTGTCAAAATCCTTTTCTACCAAGTTTAGAATGGAGAAATATATATTTTTCAAAAGCCCTTACGCATTGTTATTTCAGTCCAAAAACAATTGCTGATTTTACATTCATATTGTACATTTGAATGGAAAAGGTGAATCTGTCAACTCAGACAAAAAAAAAAAAAAAAAAAAAAAAATCTTTATTATGCTGACACAATATTGGCTTTTCTCATATTACCTTCTAAGGTAAGCCATGTAATTTCATCCAAAATTGAGAAAGTTTACTTGGGATACTATCCCTTTTCCAAGAAATTTTACTGTCAGCATCTTTGTTAGTTATGATAATGTGTTCTTTCGCGCATTTAATAAATCTTTGAGGTTAGTAAACCTCTAAGCTTTCACGTGCTGCTCGAAACAAATAACTTATAAACCTTATACACATCAGAAATGTGAAATGTAGCTATGGATAAATGAGCGGAAAGAAGTTAAATATGAAGAGACAAGAATATAGGCTGAAATAATTCAAGATTGTCACGGTGATTGAAATTAGGTCATTTGAAAGCTTAGATAAAATGGATCACTTTAAATGATGAAGCGCTACAGTTTGAAGGAGAATTTCATTATTAAAATGATTTATAAGACCAAAGTAAAATATGCACGACGCGTTACTTTGGCATATCCCACATTTAGTGCACGATCTCAAACGTTAGACAAGGAGATTTGACAGCACTTTTTAAAAGACACTGATGATCGATCAACCGTAGCAGGAAAAAAATCCCAATAGTGCAGGGGCAGAAAACAAGTTACTCATACCGTGAAATACATTCACGATCACATTGATTGTGAATTTGTAATCCCAAGCTACCAAAATTGGGTATACGTTCTTGTTTACACACTCATTACCTTTAAACGTAAACTATTCTGGGACCGGGCTTCCCCACAGAATTATAATTCTGTGGGCTTCCCCGGTGATGAACGGAAAATACCTCCAAGTATTGTAATGCCATGATATTTGCTTAGTTTGTTTCGACATGTTCCTTATTGGCATATGATTATATATATAATCAAATCGTGTTTCTGAGGATTTCTAGATTAACATAAACATGATATATATAAAAATTTAACCACACATTCTGCTGTATAATGTCGCTACATTATCATGTACTTACGGTGAATCGAAAGGTGGATATCTGCAGGATACCTAAGGATAAAATACAACAAAAAGAGAAAAAAAGGTCATTAAAGCGAATAAGATATGTTAGTACATAGAAGTTAAAGGAAACCTCATCCCAAAATATAAGTGTATAGCTTTTCTGAAAAAATGAGATGTATTCATGCCCTATAGTGTATAATACTCCTTACGAAAATATATAGAAGATATATAAATGAATAATTATGTTATTGACATGATGCCTTTTAGCATGACATGGGCGCAGCCCATTTTCTTGAAAATGTCACTAACCAGTTAAAGCTACATTTAAAGATACTATGTCCCTTTTGCAGCGAACAAAAAATCTGTAGAAGTTTGCAGGAATTACGAATATGTCATGTATGTCCTATCTGTGAAATTTAAACGTTAGCAGACTATGCAAGGAAACCTGTTTACTTGCTTAGACTTCACTGTCAGACACTAATGAGTGAGTGACTGGCTTTTCTTCTTCTTTGGTAATAACATGCATTAAAATGAGCTATATAAATACATGAGCATTTGTCTTCATCAATAACCCACTTCTTGTAATGGCCAAAATTAAACTGATTGAATCTTTGCGCAGCATCAAACGTACGATCATTCGGTACAATGGTCTGAAAATCAGACTATTACTTACTGGCTCTAAAGCTCTTAAGTCGATTAAAAAACTAATAGTCGTTATTTTCCCACTTAAAGACATTTTCAAGCCCCCTTGTTTTTAGGGAAGTTCTTAATTAGTATTATCTTCAAATGCTGTTGGAATTTAACCATTTCATTTTGTTGGCCTGCAAATGGGACAAAGTACCTTTAAGTGAGTTGGAATGACTTTTTCAATTAATAACAAATACCTTATTTTTCAACGAGAAAAATCAAAGATGAAAAGATAAATTCATATTTGGTGAAATATATGTATGTAACCAGTGGCGTACCAGGATTTTTTTCAAGGGGGGGGGGGGGGAAGTTAACAGTTTTAAATCGGGCCGAAAATTTCGCAACGACTCAGCCAGCCGCTGAATAAGCGGGGGGGGGGGGGGGGGAGAGTAAGAGCACATTTTTATATATATATATTTAAAAAAAAAATATTTCTTAATTTATTTTTTGTTTATTATTAAAACAAAATGAGGGAGGAGGTTTCCTAAAAAAAAAAAAAAATCACCCACATAACAAAAATTGAGGAGTAGGCGTATGCGCCTGTATATAACAAGGGATTTATTATTGTAACTTATTCATTGAAAAATACTAAAATGTAGTACAGTCAAACCTGTCTATAGCGACCTCCGGACCGCATGACCGTTACCAAAATCGCGGAAAAAGGGGTCAATTTCAAGCAATGTCCGCGGACAAAATATTCCTCGAAATATAGAAAATAGGGGTGCACAGGTGTCCTCGAAATTGATAAATAGGGGTCAGGAAAAAGGGAAAAGAGAAAACCGGGAAGAAAAATTCTCGGAGCCGAGCCTTGTCCTTGAAATATGGTAAAAAAGGGGTAAATTTGCGAAAGTGTCCTTACAATCTTATAAATAGGGATATTCTAAAGTACGATTTTGTCCTTGTTTTGACGTAAAAAAGGGGGTTAAATATCACAAAATGTCCTTAAAAATTGACCGCAATAGGGGGGTATTTGCATTTGTGGTAACGGTCATATGCGTCACCCTCTGCGGAGGAGTGACCCCACCGGGACGAAACCTCCCTAATGTTGGCCGAACTGGCAACAACTAATGTTTGCAGTTTGGATTCTGTCTATTGAAATACTAGTATTCTTATCAGGTGAATGAAATAGTTTGTATCGAGGCACTTCACAAAGACGTATGCATTAAATTTGGTTACATTAGAAAATTGCCTATTATTGGCATTGCATTGCAATACCTCCATAATATACGTACGCGTTCACCGAAAAGTAAAACCGCGTATTCTATCGAGCCGGTCTATTCCCCCCCCCCCCGGTCCCGAACATACAACAATCTTCTGTGTGCCCATGCCGTGGGCCATTATGCATGGGCGTACAGAGGATTTTGTTATGTTGGGGACCGGGGTAAAATTCAATGAATTCTTGAACATTTATTGCATTTTGTTTTTTTTTTTTTTTATTTGTGGGAACTGCCCCCTATCCTAGCCCCGCTGCGTACAATCATGTTTCAGTGACAAAACAATGGCCTCGTAACTGTGAGGCCCCAGGATCAAAACCATGTCGATGTGCCATATTAGTGCCCTTTTGTGGTGCATTAATCCTCATTACTGTCATTTGTGACTTAAGGGCGTAGGTCCCCTAGTTGATAATCATAGTAGCATACACATGCTTCAGCAGTCACGCAAAACAAACACTGACAAATTATTTATTCAATAAAATCTGAGAATGTATACTATCTAGATCTATTAGGAATAAATAATTGTCAAAATAATTCCATAAATTGTGGTAACAAAAAATATTCCAACTATATGAACGACAGTGTAGTAAGAAAATTGTATGACCAGGGAGCTGTCATACAAGGAGTGGAAACTCTTGTAATTTACTTAATCGCATGCGTGAGTTCTAAAGCGTAACAATGGGATGCGTAACATTCCACTTGGCTCTGGGGTTCCATGCTCCGAGCCGCTCTTTCACTGCGGGGAATTTCGGAGGCCAGGCACCAGCTTCACATTTATAAAATTGACTGCAAAATTTCAGTGTAAATTATACATTTTATATGGTGATTGTATTGTGAATAATGCATCAATTTTTTTTTCAAGTTTAGTACTCCGCCCTTCCTATAATTTGTGTACCAAAGTTGGTAAAAGAAAAATCATATCCTGACGACACCTCAATATTTTAGGATAGTCCGATTATTTTTGCATGTTTTAATGTCCAGTCATTTAATCCATGATTTACAATCTTCGATAACTTTAAGTTTACTAATGTGTGCTTTCGCGTGCTTTTTGTATTTTGCAGTTGGCAGAAAAAGTATGAAACTACAAAAGTTTGTTTTTGCTTATTCAACTCCTTACACATTCAAAAATTGATGAGAAATCATTGAAACGGACAACAAACATTTGCTGACATACCATTTTCTGATGTAGGAATTCTAAATCCTGATATTACATTTGTTTTTTTATCTCACCACCTGCCAAACAGTTGCTAAATAGCACATAATATTTCGGCTGCTTGGAGCATGGGGTTAGGGGCGGCGATTTCTTTTCATGACCGGGGGGGGGGGGCGAAATGCGAGGGAGCATAGGGAACGAGAGGGGCGAAGACGACGGAAGTTACTACCCCTTTACAGGTTTTGTATTCAAAAATTACATTCCTTAGCAAAACTATAGTATAAACGAAATACAGATTTTCTACAATATTTACTCGTACATTTTTAATGATATTACGCGAGGGAGCGTAGCGACCGAGCAAGAAGATTTTTGCATTTTTACTAGTCTAAACACTGCACTCCTGGGCCATCCAGAGCCTAAAAATGTGTTG